TCCCTGAGTAACAATTCTCTGGCACTCAGTAACAATTCTGTCTGTCCCTGAGTAAAAATTCTGTGGCCCTAAGTAAAGTTTCTGGGCCCTGAGTAACAATTCTCTGGCACTCAGTAACAATTCTGTCTGTCCCTGAGTAACAATTCTCTGGCACTCAGTAACAATTCTGTCTGTCCCTGAGTAAAAATTCTGTGGCCCTAAGTAAAGTTTTCTGTGGCCCTAAGTAACAATTCTCTGGCACTCAGTAACAATTCTGTCTGTCCCTGAGTAACAATTCTCTGGCACTCAGTAACAATTCTGTCTGTCCCTGAGTAAAAATTCTGTGGCCCTAATTAAAGTTTCTGTGGCCCTAAGTAACAATTCTCTGGCACTCAGTAACAATTCTGTCTGTCCCTGAGTAACAATTCTCTGACACTCCGTAACAATTCTGTCTGTCCCTGAGTAACAATTCTCTGGCACTCAGTAACAATTCTGTCTGTCCCTGAGTAAAAATTCTGTGGCCCTAAGTAAAGTTTCTGTGGCCCTGAGTAACAATTCTCTGGCACTCCGTAACAATTCTGTCTGTCCCTGAGTATGAATTCCGTGGCCCTAACTAGCGTTTCTTTGTCCCTAAGTAAAGTTTCTGTGGCCCTCAGTAACAGTTCTGTGTCTGTGCGAGTAACAATTCTGTGTCTGTGCGAGTAACAATTCTGTGGCCCTAAGTAAAGTTTCTGTGGCCCTAAGTAACAATTCTCTGGCACTCCGTAACAATTCTGTCTATCCCTGAGTAACAATTCTCTGGCACTCAGTAACAATTCTGTCTGTCCCTGAGTAAAAATTCTGTGGCCCTAAGTAAAGTTTCTGTGGCCCTGAGTAACAATTCTCTGGCACTCCGTAACAATTCTGTCTGTCCTGAGTAACAATTCTCTGGCATTCAGTAACAATTCTGTCTGTCCCTGAGTATGAATTCTGTGGCCCTAACTAGCGTTTCTTTGTCCCTAAGTAACAGTTCTGTGGCCCTGAGTAACAATTCTGTGTCTGTGCGAGTAACAATTCTGTGGCCCTAAGTAACAGTTCTGTGGCCCTCAGTAACAGTTCTGTGTCTGTGCGAGTAACAATTCTGTGTCTGTGCGAGTAACAATTCTGTGGCCCTAAGTAACAGTTCTGTGGCCTTCAGTAACAATTCTGTGTCTGTGCCCTAGTAACAATTCTGTGGCCCCTAAGTAAAGTTTCTGTGGCCCTAAGTAACAATTCTCTGGCACTCAGTAACAATTCTGTCTGTCCCTGAGTAACAATTCTGTGGCCCTAATAACGTTTCTGTGGCCCTAAGTAACAATTCTCTGGCACTCAGTAACAATTCTGTCTGTCCCTGATTATGAATTCTGTGGCCCTAACTAGCGTTTCTTTGTCCCTAAATAACGATTCTGTGGCCCTCATTAACAAGTCTGTGTCCCTGAGTAATGGTTCTCTGTCCCTAAGTAACTTTTCTCTGTCCCCAATTATCGTTTCTGTGGCCCTAACTCTGTCCCTGTCCCTAGTACAGAGCGGTCTGCCTCTGTTCAATAACTGCAGGCAAATGAAGAATTCCAAAATGGCCGCTATTTATAGCTCGACCATTACACAGTGCTGGCTGGCTGGCTGCTGATAGGCTGATGCGATCACATGTAGTTGAGGAATGCATTATGGGTCAGCGCGCCTTGTCTGCGCGCCTTCCCAGACATCCCCGCTCCGTCGCCGCACATGTCAGCCGCCATTTTCTGAAAAATTTCGATTCGCGCGTCCGAATTAGGCTATTTTTTCGGATTCGGCACGAATCGAAATTTTTTCCGATATTCGACTCGAATTCCACTTCGGATACTTCGATTCGCTCATCTCTACTCACCGTCCTAGGGCTACAGAACCTACATATTGGCAGCCATGTTTTCACAATGATGTACTCTATGATTGGGATTTTCTGCTCTTCATTCTTCCATGCACAAAGCTCAGACATAATTGACCAAAAAAAGGATACTTTTTAAAAATCCCATAATCATTTTCATGCTGCAAGTGTCCTGATGGAGACACTGACTATACTGTCTAACATACAGATCACCGATAGAGGGTGCTCCAATACCTGCAACGCGTTTCCTACCTTCATTCTCCACCTATAAGAATACCACTTACCCGTGGCTTGGGTGCTCTTCAGTTCCCGGTTGAAGCACAGGGTGACATTTGTAGCAGCTTCCCCGTCTTCCCGGACTGAACATTCATAGGAAGAAAGCGAATTCTTTGTGGATCAAATGTCATGGACACCCGACACACCAACCACCGGACGAGATCTGAAGGAGAGTCAGAAGGAGAGACTGATGGCGATGTGTCAGGTGACAATATTACAGGAATATGTGACATCACATAAAACATTTAAAGTGGACCTGCATGCTAACAGTGAAGATTTTATAGGGAACATCTAGAAAATTTTTATTCCCTGAAAAATTTACCTTTTTAACTAGAATTTTTTTTCCGGAAAAACTAGCAGTGCATTCTCTGTGCCTAGACCACACTCCCGTTCAAAATCCTACTAGCTGTATATCTACAGTGTGAGATCATCTAAGGCTCTGAAGACTCTGATTGCTCATCAGAGTCAGATTTGGTGATATCACTACTGTGCTGTTCACTGTTCTCCTTGCTGGAGAGGAAGTTGCACCTTAGGACCTGCAGTGCAAGGATCTCCCTGCTTCTGTTTCATCCATTCTGTGAATCTGTGTGTAGCTCTCCCTCTACCCCCAGAGGCATATTAAGGACCCCCAGAGACAGGGTGGGCCAGCATTTCATCCCAGGGCTGAGTCTATGGTGAATGCTTGGCACCAGTCACTTTGGCAAACAAATTCAGAGCCAGATCTAGCCTGATCTGATCTGGGAATGCAAATAAAAAATTCAGGGGGCATAATGTCAACAGTGTGATGCATGGAACCAGTATTCCCTGTTCACCGATCGTCCCATCGACACGCTTCTGTACCTCGGAGTCACAACCCGGACGTAACATCTGACAGATGCACAGGTGGTAAGGGAGTGAATATAGAGAGCACTAGTATGTATTAGGATGATAAACAGAACCTGTGTCACCTTATGTCAGGTGTCCCTATCAGAGTCCTTCCTTACATCAAGAGTCCTCCTCAGTTTCCCCTTTACATCAGGGTTCCTATAAAGGTCCCCCCTTAAATTAGGGTCCTCATCGGAGTGCCCCTTACAAAAAATGTGTACATCAGAGTACCCCCTAACATTAATTGCCCCCCTCAGAGAGCTCCTTACATCAACTGTTTCAACAGAGTGCCCCCTTGCATCAACTATCCCTATCAGAGTGCCCCCTACATCAACTATCCCTATCAGAGTGCCCCCTTACATCAACTATCCCTATCAGAGGGCATCCTTGCATTAACTATCCCTATCAGAGTGCCCCCTTACATCAACTATCCCTATCAGAGTGCCCCCTTGCATCAACTATCCCTATCAGAGTGGCCCCTTACATCAACTATCCCTATCAGAGTGCATCCTTGCATTAACTATCCCTATCAGAGTGCCCCCTTACATCAACTATCCCTATCAGAGTGCCCCCTTGCATCAACTATCCCTATCAGAGTGCCCCCTTACATCAACTATCCCTATCAGAGTGCATCCTTGCATTAACTATCCCTATCAGAGTGCCCCTTTGCATCAACTATCTTTACCAGAGTGCCCCCTTACATCAATAGTCCCCATAAGGTCTCATGGATCATTTGGATGCACTCTCAGAGATCTGGGGGGCACAACTAAAATCTGGGGGTGCATAGCCCACCCCAGCACCCCCCTAGATCTTGGCCTGAACAAATTGTATTTTATTGACAGCAATTGTGCAAATTTGAGAGGGTTTAGGACAGGGGTATCAAACTGGTGGCCCTCTAGCTCTTGCAAAACTACAAGTCCCATCATGCCTCAGCCTTTGGGAGTCATGCTTGTAACTGTCAATCTTGCAATGCCTCATGGGACTTGTAGTTTGGCAATAGCTGGAAGGCCGCCAGTTTGACACCTGTGGTTTAGGACATCGGATACCAGAACATAGCCCTTCACAATTCCAGTCTCCACTTCCAGCTTTACAGAATAAAATCTTTAAGCCGAGTCCAGGAATTCTGTAATTGAGAAGTACCTTGAATGGTGAGTAGAGAGCTCTATCCATCCTTCAAGTTGGTTACCAACCCTCTGCAAGGCTCCAGCTGCTCATCTGGAGCACCTCCTCCGCAAGAGATCCTTCCCTCTGGTATCCCTCCCAGCTTGGGTATAGCTTTAAGGTGGCCACCTCATCCCTTTAAACCCAAACACATATTAATTACACAGGTCCCGCTGCTAATTTAATGCAGATAAGGCACTAAATGAGTTTAATGGCCATCTTAATCAGCCACAGAACCTGTGCAAACAATATGTGTTTGGGTTTAAAGGGATGAGGTGGCAACCCTATATAGCTTCCTTCATACCAGACAGGACAGCTCCAGACCTTGACCTAGGACTAACCTAGGATGCCTAAAAGGATAGCCGCATTGACAGCACTCCTCCCCAGGTCTACTTCTGGAGGACAAGACCCTCTCCTTCATAGTTGACCCCAATATTTAAAACAAAGGATATACTGTATCACCTAGTTAGAAAAATCACCTCTCAGCCCAATCCAGTCTATGTGGTTAACACATGTAAGATGGCCTCAGCCTTGCACCACCCCACATGCCACACCCTTAGACATGTCTGGCCCCACCCACCAGTACTTAGCCATGGATGGTGATATATTTTCAGCCAGTGTTCCATTCCTGAGTACCAGCGGGACTACATACATACACCCCTTCTTTGTTTAAAGGGGCACTACAAGTATGATCAGGTCAAAGGATATGTCATCAGCATGCCAATGAACCCCATCAAAGGCTCCAATGCTTTTATTAACAATCATACCACAGCAATGTTTCTGAGGCATGCAAGACACCTTCATCAGGCATGTGATGAGATCAGGGGCGGACTGACAACTCATGGGGCCCCCGGGCAATAGGGGATCATGGGCCCCTGTGTCCTTGCCCAAACTCAAAAAAGCCTTTGAAAAAGGTACCGGGGCATCTCATGGGGCCCCCTACTGACCCCGGGCCCTCGGGCAGTGCCCAAGTTTCCAAATGGTCAGTCCGCCCCTGGATGAGATTTATAACAGTGCTGGTGAGAAAGTCTCCTGACTCTCGTGTCTTACCTGTTTAGGGTGACCCCAAGGAACTTCCTAAGCTTTCTTGTCCTCCAGAGAATACAGCCGAATTTCTGGCTACTGTGTGAGTTGGGAAGAACAGTACCAATCAGGGGTGGACTGACAACTCATGGGGCCCCGGGGCAATAGGGGACCATGGGCCCCTGTGTCCTTGCCCAAACTCAAAAAAGCCTATGAAAAAGGTACCAGGGGCATCTCATGGGGCCCCCTACTGACCCCTGGCCCTCGAGCAGTGCCTGAGTTTCCAAACGGTCAGTCCGCCCCTGGTACCAATGTGCTGATCTTGCATATTGCACTGCTTACATTTTTTCTTTTTTTGTGTTAACTTTATTGAAATGTCACAGAGTGACAAAGTTCTACTGGCTGAAGAGCGATACGGTGGATTGCATCAACTGTGCAAAGAAAAGTACTGCATGCTATGCTATTTTTCAATGCACACCACCACAGTGCCGCGGTATGAACTGGCATGATGGAGGTCTAAGCTTTTGGCCACGTCTAGTGTTATGACTGAGCAAAGGTATCCAACGCAGTCTGATGTGCCTGGTGGGAATGGGCACTAATCATAATTGCTTCTTACTTCAGTATAAGGACTCGGCCTTCACTTCCGATGGTGACATCTGGAATTCCATCCCCTGTCATGTCTAGATTCCCGCTTAATGACCACCCGAAAAACTTTATGCCACTCCTGACCAAGCTTCCAGCAACCCTCTGTGGAAGGAAGACACAGAAAGAGAAATCGGCAAGAGCTGGAAGGGCAGGGTAGGAAAGAAACCTGCAAGGAAGATATCCATTATTTGATTTTGTTCACCTAAACCTGGGGAACACATTAGAGCCTTGAAAGTGGTGGATCGCTGTGCATAAATGCTACAACATTTCCAAAGTTGTGTTTGAACAAATGAACCTTCTTGGTTCTTCATGGATTTTTTTTCCCATGTAAGATATGATAGCTGTAGGTCATCCGGGACACACAGTGACTGGCACGTTTAACCATGTAGGTCACCCAGTGAGTGGGACATAAAGAGTGAGTGGGACATGAATAACAAAAGGAACAATGGACCATGTACAGTCATGTACAACACCCAGCGGCATGGATATATACCATGTATAGCACCCACCAACTGAGACGTTGGATGATAGAGGACATTAATGGCAGGGACATTAGGCCGTGTAGGGCAAAACAACAAAGGGAACTATGGACCATGCAGGACATTCAGCTACAGGTCATGTGGAACACACAGTGTCAGGGACATTAAACCATGTAGGACACCCAGAAAGTTGGACATTAGGCTATATAGGGCACAGCGCAATAGGGACATTAGATCATGTATGGCACACAGTGACGGAGACAATAGACCTTGTAGCACAGGCAGTAACAGGGACATTAGGCCATGTAGGACACCCAGTGAGTGGGACATTAGGCTATATAGGGCACAGCGCAATAGGGACATTAGATCATGTATGGCACACAGTGATGGAGACATTAGACCTTGTAGCACAGGCGGTAACAGGGACATTAGGCCATGTAGGACACCCAGTGAGTGGGACATTAGGCCAGGTAAATCATACGGCAATAGGAATTTTAGTCATGTAGTACACAATGTGACAGGAGCATAAAGCCATGTAGGACACCCATCGACATGGACATCTACCTTCTATAACACCCATTGAGAAGGACATTAGACGATATAGGATGCCCATGACCAGGGCTGTGGATAAGAGGGTGCCACCATTCCTCCTGTATGGGGCCCAGGCCAGCAGGGGGGCCCAGGCAGCTGGGTGAATTAGATGTGGGCAGTAGAGAGGATGATCGGCACAAATACAGGAACCAGTCCCCTGTATGGCTCTCTCCGCAGCAGATGAAAGCTGGCTTCTTCTGCTCTACCTGTTGCTGGCTTTCAGCTGCTGTGGAGAGAGCCATACAGGGATCAAGTAACTCCCCCCCTGCAGCACCTATCACCCTCCCTGTGCACCATATGTTTCTTTCGCTGCCCAAGACCCCCCAGTGTTCCCCCACCCACACATTCTGACGGCTTCCCTCCTTTCCTTCCCACTGGCAGCTGTAAGCACACAATAGGATCTTTAAGGATGGAGAGTGGGCGGAGGACTTGATAAATAAGTCACATTTACCAGCACCTTCCTTTCCTGAATGAACACAATGGGTGATCAGTAGCAATCACTCACTGTGTTCATTCATAACTGAAGCCTACTGTGTTTTTTGGGGGGCCATATGGAGCCCCGTGGTTTCTCACAGCAGCCCTGCTAATGACAGAAACATTAGGCCATGTAGAGTAAACAACAAAAGGAACTTTAGACCATGTAGGATACCCATAGATGGGGCATCAAGTCATTTTGAACATATAATGACAAGAACATTAGACCATGTATGACACCAAGTTACATGATCACTAGGCCAAACACTGCAGGGCACCCACTGAATAGGTCATTAGGTCATGTTGAATACATAATAATAAGGCTATTGTGTCATGTATGATACTCCGTGTCAGGAGCTTTAAACGATGTTAGACAACCAGCTGCATGAACATCTACTTGCATAACACCCACCAACAGGGACATTGGGCAATATAGGATGCCAATTACAGGGAGACTAAACAATGTAGAATGTCAATGACAGGGGCATTAGATGATGTAATTAAGGAGATATCTGGTCATGTGAGACACACAGTGATAGCAACATTGGGTCATGTAGGACACCTAGCAACAGCAACTTTAGGTCATGTAGGACACCTAATGATGGAGACATTAAACCATGTAAGACCCCCGGCAGCATAGACATCTATAGTTGTATAAACCCCAGCAGGGTCATTAGACAATACAGCATGCCAGTGACAGGGACATTACCATAGACTATCTAGATCACTCAGCGACAGCAAAATTGAACCATGTAAAGCACCCATAGACAGGGACATCAGGTCTTGTAGGTCACACAGTGGCAGAGACAATAAACCATGTAGGAGATTAAGCTACTGTGGCATTAGGCAATGCAGGACACTCAGCAACAGGGAGACCAGACCATGTAGGACACCCAGTGACAGAAACATTAGGTCAAGTAGGACACCCAGCAACAGGGAGACCAGACCATGTAGGACACCCAGTGACAGAAACATTAGGTCAAGTAGGACACCCAGCAACAGGGAGACCCAGACCATGTAGGACACAAAGTGACAGAAACATAAGGTCAAGTAGGACACCCAGCAACAGGGAGACCAGACCATGTAGGACACCCAGTGACAGAAACATTAGGTCAAGTAGGACACCCAGCAACAGGGAGACCAGACCATGTTGGACACCCAGTGACAGAAACATTAGGTCAAGTAGGACACCCAGCAACAGGGAGACCAGACCATATAGGACACCCAGTGACAGAAACATTAGGTCAAGTAGGACACCCAACAATAGGGACATCTGATCATGTAAAACACCCAGTAACAGTGACATTAGGTCATGTAGGACAACCAGCGAAAGGGACCTTAGGCCATGTAGTTCACCCAGAAAGTTAGAATTAGACTGTAGAGGTCACATGATTTTACCTGTATATATGATGTTCTGAAGCTTTTCTCCTGACCTGGAAAGATGTAGACAGCTCCTTGATAATTCTCCTCATATGGGGCACCAACAGCCAGGTCTGGCAGCTGATCTCCAGTCAGGTCGGGCAGAACAGAGATGGCAGAACCAAATTGTCCCAAAGTTTGGCTGGAGTCACCCTGAAGGGTTTCCGGGCAGGAGATGGTGATAGTTTGAGCTGACCAGGTGACCTGAATCCAGAGACAGTGGAACTGTTAGATATTGCTCTTATATACGAGAACCAAGAGACAGAACAGGGGCACTCAGTATTTTTCAAGCCAGGAAGATGGAATTAAGAAAACAGGGGCACACATATCCAATGCACACACGATATAGAATGTTGGCACTCATTAAAGTATAACTAAAGCATTTTTTTATCTTGGGTATAGTAAGGAATGGTTAAAACCCGTCTGTTTTTTCCATTTGTGTGCCATTGGGGAAATTTCCCTTAATTTTAATTCCTGAGTTGAAATCTCTCCAAGGTGAGGGATTTCCCTTCTTAGACAATTACACCCAACCGGGTGTCCTCACTGGATGATTTCCCCTCTATTCCTGTTTTGATGACAACTCCAAATTTTAGATTTTGCCTCACATTCAGTTCTGGTGACAATGGTTACCAGGAAAAAGTTGGGGAGAATCTCCCAGTGGGGAGACTGATAGGAGTTCTAACCTTTCCACACTCCACCGAAAAACTAGCTGATGATGATTTTCATCATTCAGTCGTGTCATTTGTAATATTCAACAACTACAATCGCAGTTCTGAACACCACTGATGACCCCATTTCTCACTGGTTCCATCAAGTTCAACCCATGTACCCCTTAACATTCTTTGTGTCTATTGTAATAAAGACCTCACCTCAGTAGGAATGGGACACAGGTACACCTGTCCACTTGGCACTTCTGGAGAGTAATATGTTGGAGCTCCAACCAAAAGGACAGGTTGTCTTGAATTCTCATTCAGAACACTTAGAACTGACCCGAAAGTATGACCCAATCTGGGAGAGTAATATAAAGCATCACATTAATGTATACATTTAGATGAAGTTACTAGATATGGTTCTATACACAGTATTGGAAAGTACAACCCCAGGTTCAGAAAGTACGACTTTGTCTTTCCATCTTCTGGAGACATCAGTTGGTGACAATTAAGGAGGAGAACATTCAGCAGTCAATTCAAAGGGACAGGAGATATCAGGACTAACTTTTTCTTTATTGGTGTTTTGTTCCTGAAAGCACCCAGGTAAAAGGTAAAACATTTTGAGAGTCCCCAGTATTTGAGAAAACAGCATGAGAATAATACTATCCCCCTGTATTCTGTGGATGTACAAAAACGATGGAAGCAGCTAGTGGAAAAGGATAAGGAAGACTTTGCCTTCATAGGGACCCCCAATCAAGTGGTGAGGGATCAATTCATCTCAGGGGTCTGGGCAGGCACCTCCAAACAGGCACAACTGAACCAGGTGAAAACTACAACATACTAAGGATGTGGAGTTTAGTGACATCCTAGCAGCCATAGTGGAACAAGAGCAGGAGGACTCTGAAGCCCAAACTGTAGTTTCTCAAGGAGCTGGCTGGTTACTGGTGAAGGAGTCCATGGCTTCACAAATCTTTGCATTAGAAATGGCTGAGGGATAACTGAATCGGTTCCATCATAATTCCCATATGATGAGGTCCCCAATTCCA